ATAGAAAACTGGTCAATGTGACTGAAGTATGATGCCAAAATGTACAAAGAAGTGAAAACATTAGTTGTTCTAGTTATGTATAAAAACACTTCACAAAACTCTCCAATGTTTGTGTTGCTAAAACATGGAAGGCTGGGTTTGAACATAAAGAAGTTTACAGAACAGAACAGAAGTAAGACACAGAATTAGCGTTAGTCCCTTCACGGAGTAATGCATTATTTGAACAAATTCCCCCATGGAGGAAGATGAGAACAAGCTGATATAAGTACAGCTTAAGTCACCTTCATTGTTAAAACTATATTTAGATTATTATGCATTGAATTTTACAGTTGTTAACTTGAATATAGACTTCAAGAAACGAACAAGTCAGTACAAATGCCATCTTTCGGTTGACAAAGCAGAACTTACTTTGCTACCTTAGTAACTGAAGCTTTCTGGATGGAGTCCAAGGCCATCTCACCTTACATGGGATCCCACTCCAAAGCCAAGTGTGTTAGAGGAAGAACCTTACACCTGTTTGGTGTTCCAGCCTTGCTGCCTGAATTCAGTGCCTTCATTTACTATAGGGTTTAGAAATGCAGACATTGTGGCCTAATTGTGGTTCACCCAGTTCTATAGAAAGCCAGGATGAAACGGCAGGCTCCAAAGAAGGAATAAAAAGTGCTGACTCTTTGTTTTCTTCCCTTGCTCCCTATTTCCTAACTTCAAAACACTCTGTCTGTCCTAGACATAAAGCAAGTAGCTTAAAAATAACAACACCAACAAGAAAGAAAGCAAGAAAGGAAGGAAGGAAAGAAAGAGAGAAAGAAGGGAGGGAGGGGAAGGGAAGGAAAGGGAAAGGAAGAGAAAGGAAAAGAAGTAGATTTAAATTAAAAACAGTGGCAAGCCTGGTTTGATATACTGAAACAGCTTAAGGAAAGGCAAAACCAAATCAGAAAAGCACCCAAGGCCAGAATGTGCCTAGGGGACCCACCCCACCCTGCACAAAGTTACATGGCAGAAGAGACTGAGTTCAGAAATGGAGATTGTCAGAGCCACAGCTTGTAGCTATTCTCAGAGTGCTACGCAGAATTAGGCCTAGGACATACACATCATATACCTTTCTTGACACAGAAACTCAATAAAAGTCTCTTTGGGTTGAGATTTATCTTTAAATCTGTGCATCTTAGAGTCCTAGTATAGTCGGGAGGTTTAGAAGTACTGTTTGTGGCTTACTGGGTGAACACATTTGAGAGTTCTTGGCTTGTTTTATCTTATCTGTCAGAAAAGATAGCAATTCCTTGACCTTAGTATTTATCTTTATTGGGGATTTTGTTTTGTGTTGTGGTGTTGCCAGTTTTCTTATCACTCTTTGCTTCAAAAGCAGTGACCTAGATTATTTCCTAAACTGGTCTGTTATATACACTGGTCAATCTAAACTCTCATACTGATTCAAAGAAACATACCAGGCTTCCTCCAGGCACAATAAGTACCTGGGCTTAGTATTCCCTGTTTAATGACTGTTCAAAATATAGTTACCTTGCATGACTCATACAAGGAAAGTTGCAGCCAGTAACATTTATTCTAAATGCACAGCTATTGCTCTGCTAGAAAAGTAAGGGAAAGTAGGACATTTAAGAGGAGAGAGAGAGAGGAAGAGAGAGAGGGAGAGAGGGAGAGGGAAAGGGAGGAGAGAGAGAGAGAGAATATGCAAGCCTGTTCTCTGATAATCATTGTACTGTGAGATTGTGTTTTACAAAAATAGCAAATTTAGCATATATCTAGTATTCAAAATGATTACAGTTTATTTTTAAGTACATATAACATAAACACATGTATGCTGTTTGTTAAGTTTTACATAAAACAACTACAAAATACTATAAGTACCACATATCTAATTAAAAGCTGAATGAAATAACTTTACCCCAAATTCATACATTCATGATCTACTCATTTGCATATCAACCCATGTTGCAATTCTTCCCAGGAACCTCTGACCACACTACCGGAAATTGCTGACAATTTAAATAACTGGGAGTGATCAGTAAATTATTTCATAATTTGCAGACTCTGGAAAGAAGATAAGTATTTCTCTCTGAAATAATAACAGGTGCTTTACACCCAATTCCTGGTCCTTGGTAGCATTCAGCTGAGCATTTTAGTTTGAAAGCAGTTAATTGTCCTCTTTTTAGATTTAAGATAACATAATAGGTAGTAGTCAATCTGTTCCTCTTTTGGCTTTAACAGTTAAGAGGATTTTGGCCTTTGTTTTATTTTAATTACCCAATTAACTGCTTAGTTGTACCGCTATCTTGGGATCAAAAATCTGCAAAAGATTGTAGGCTTCCAGTTACTAGCAGAAGGAATGAAAATCACCAAGTACAAGACTGGTAGGGAATGGCTAGGTTTGCTTCAAACTTAGAACATCAAAACTTTTAGAAACCAAAATAAAAAGTATGAGGCATACATGTCCTATTTTTAAAAAGAAGAATTACTAAGTGTTCCAACTCTCAGCTTGCAACTCTCCTCCTGGCGATCTCTGCATAACTCTACATTACAGGCGTCTATGATGCTTTCAGAAACACATCTGTGGAGATTACCCCTCACCTCATACCCAGGTTCCTTAGCATTCAGAAACTGCAAAACACATGGCTCTGAAAGCAAAGGATCATTTGTTTAACACCTTTGGGACGGGGGAAGATAGCTATTCCAGAGGGATGAAAGTGGGTGGCATGTATGTGGGGAAAAGAAAATGAGGGTTTCCCGCAAAATCCTTTACCAAATAATAATACTAGAAACAATAAAGGCCTACCAAGAAACGTATTGTTCATTCGTGACATTCCCCTCTCTCCAGTACTACGGACTGACTTCACTTCAAGGTCCCTAGACAAACATCGAACACTTAAATAATTTCTCAAACTGCTTTTCCAGTATTGTTCCACAGGCATTTGACAAGAGAGCGCTTGGCACTGTGTTTGCTATGTGTCCTAGTCCCTCTCTCCCCCAGAAGCCCTGGGCCTGTCCCACGCAGGGTGGGGTAGGGAGAACCCTGGGGGAGGGGGGTTGTAGGCACCAGACATCAGCAAGCATAGCGGGGGGGGGGGGGGGGGGGGTGAGGGCTTCGGATGCCCCTCAGGACCAAACCAGAAACACCTCCTTGTGTTTAACATTGAGGAGTTGAGCTGGAGAAGGGTAAAAGGCCAGGGGACAGGGGAGGATGGCTGGATGGGGCGGATGGGGAGCTAGAACGCAGGGCCAGGGCTCCAGGACCGAGGAGCCAGGGGAGGATGGCTGGACCGGGTGGATGGGGAGCTAGAACGCAGGGCCAGGGCTCCAGGACAGAGGAGCAGTGTCCACTGCAGCACCACATGGCAGCAGAAGCCTACTACCTCAGTGGACATCCGAGGCCACGCCCTCGCCCTCATCAGCCCAAGCATGCGAATGTCTGTCCCCTCGACGCCAGTCTACACAAGTACCCGCCCCCTGGACGCCCATCCACGACCTCCGTCTGCCCCCTGGACGTCCACCTACTCCAGCATCTGCCCCTCGGGCCGTCTATTCACGCTGGTCTCTGCTCCCAGCCCCACACCGTCTAACCACACCGGCGTCTGTCCTCGGACCATCTCTCTGCTCACTTTCCTTCCGCGGTTCCAACGTGGCCTCCACCGCCGCGGCCTCCGCGCCTGCGGCCTCCATCCCCGCCCACCCGTGCCTCGTCCCCTCCTCCTCGCTCCTCCTGCGTGCAGCCCCCTTTGGGGCACACCACAAGGTTGGGGTCCTGGAAGTCCCAGACACTTGCTGCCAGCCCTGGGGGGGGTCCGGATGCCAGCAGCCCCCCACCCCACCCCACCCCACCCCCGAGTTGGGAGTGTCAGGAGGCCCGAGCAAGGCCGTGATCTACGGCACCGCAGTGCCCGCCCGACCCGTCCGTCCGTCTGTCCATCTGCCACTGCAGGACCTCCTGCCCCGGGTCGGCCCCGCGGCTGTGAACTCGGTACAACTGCGGACAGCGCAGCGCGTCCCTGCCTCCTCCACCACGCAGCCCTCCGGCCTGCCCCCCTCCCCGCTCCTCACCGCCCCCCCACCACGGCCGCCCCCCCCCAAACTCCTCCAGGAGGCTTGGGGAAGTGAGCCCGGGGGACTCGGCTCCCCGGTCACCTGCATTTGCATTCCTTATGTAATGCACCGCAAGTTTCCCTCCTGGAACCCCGATTGCACCGGGGCGCAGGACGGGAGGCAGGCGGAACCCATCCAGACCACAGCCCCCGGCGGGGGGGGGCAGCGAGCGCTCTGGAAAAGGGGAATGGGGTGGGGTGGGGTTCGAGGCTCTAAATATCGGGTTTCCCTCCCAGGCAGGAGCCCCGGGCGCTGCGCGCTTCCCAGCGGACGCGTGGGGAGGGGGAGGAGGAGGAGGAGGAGGAGGAGGAGGAGGGGAAGGAGTTCAGGGCGCGGGGTGGGGGAGGAGGCGGGGGCCGAACTGACGGCGGCGGCGGCGGAGGAGGAGGTGGAGGAGGAGGATCGGGGTGTCGAATCCGTGCAAGCTCCCCAGAAAGTCGAGCTATGTCCTCCCCCCCCTCCAAGTAAAGGAAACCTTCCAGTTCCTCTAGGCGCAACCTTCTAGCCGTCCTCCTTTCCACACCCATTCCACCCACCACCTGCATCGAAGGCATTCCGAGGGGGGCACAAAAAATTAAAAGTTTCCTCCTGCCACTTAGGCTGGACTGGTGTCACCGCCACGAGCTGCTTGCTGGGGGCAGGGGGGGGAGGTTTGGGGGTGGTGGGGAGGGGGGTTGGGTTGTAGACGCAGCTCCCCAAGCTGTGACTTGATTATTCATGCAACACCTCGATATGCAACACGGTCCTGGTGGCCGCTCCGCTCCCCCGGCCGCCCGCCTGCCCGCCCTCCTGCCCGGCTGTCCGGCTGCCCGCCCGCCTGCATAGCAGAACCGCAGGGCGAGCCCCGGCCACGGCACCCGGAGGGATGGAGGAAAAAGCCGAGCACACGAGCGTGTTTTGCTTACCAGTTGGGTTCTTGTTTTTCTTAAGACTCTTGCCACAAAGACACTGCAGCATATGCGTTCCTTTGCTGAAAATGTTCCAAAGAAACCACATTGATTTGGGCGAAAAGCAATCCAGCAGCTTAGACACCCTGAGAAAGAAGAGATCCCTGTGGTTGCATAATAATAATTGGAAATCAGTTTTCCTGAAGAGGGGCACCGGTTTTACCATAGGAAAAACGATGGTATTCCGGGTCTTCTCCCAGTTTTTCCCCCTCACGTGGTCTATTTCTTGGAGACTTCTCAGTGCTTGTGTTTTCTCGGCCAGGGTGAATGATTTATTTCCCCCCTTTTCCTTGATCACCACCGGATTCTTAGCAAAAGGTTGAAAAAAAATCCTTTTCTCAGCATGAAGCCAAAGAAATCCCAACTGAGATCACAACTAATCGGGGAGAAGAGGAATGCCCAAAAAATCCTCCAGGAGAAAACCATAGCCTTTCATTCGGTCGAGGCGAGGATGGGTGGATCTGCAGAAAGCAAAGCAGGATTCATCTCACTGAGAGGAGACTGCCATTGTGTAGCCCCTAGGAGAGAAGGAAAATAAAAGGGAAGAAGAGAAAGGGGGTTGGGGGGGGAGGAAAGGAAAGAAAAAAAGAGGAAAAAAAAGGGGAAAAAAAGGGAAAAGCAAAGCAAAGGCAGCACCGAACACACTCACGAACACCAATACCACCTTGGAGATTGAGTCTCACTGCCGGAGACAAGAGACTCCCTTCTTTCTCCTGGTGTCGAGATTTAAAAGAATAAGGATAATGATAATGGTAATAATAATAATCAATCGCCAGAGCTAAGTGGCATCGGCTTGCACCTGCAGTTCTGGATCAGCACGAAGAATAGATGAAATCCTACCAGGAACCCCCTGCCCTGGTCAGTCTCGTAGTAGGTAGCCAGAGCTCCAGATCTCCTTCCTCCTTCCTCTCTCTCTTCCAGGTTGCAGCCACCACCAGCAGCAGCGTGAGCATGAGGAAAAAAATCTCCCCTCCGGATTCCTCGCCCAGCCTCGGATGGGGAGTTACAGGCATTAGCTGGAGGAGGAGGAGGAGTGGAAGTTTGCGTTGAAAAGACTGGCTTTCCATGACGTAGCCACGTGCTTTCAGACCCGTCACCAGTGAGGTGCTTCAACCAGCCCGGGGAGGGCAGTCACTGCAGTCTCTGGCCGGTCCCTCCTCAGAGCTGCCCACCCCAGCCAGCCTAGCCCCAGCCCCACCACCTTGGGGACCCTCTCCCTCCTCCTCGCCAGCCTGCTGCTGCCTCGAAGAGCCACTCTTACAGCCTTCTGTTAAACTGGATTTAGAAAACGGAAAATTAACAAGTATAATGAGCCAAGTTGAGAGGATACATAGGAATTGGGGAGGGAAGGAAGGAAGGAAGGAAGGAAGGAAGGAAGGAAAGAAGGAGGGAGGGAGGGAGGGAGGGAGGGAGGGAGGGAAACAGGCGCAGAATACCACTTGGCATAGCCAAAATCAGTCCTCACTTTGTATTCGTGAAGCTATGTGGACAGCACTTGAACAGCAAGAAAAACTCAAGTTCCCTTTACTCTTACAGTTTGGGTCTTACTTCAGGTGCTGAGATTCTAGATCTAGATTGACATAGATGTAGATATAAATATGGATCTAGGTACAGACATAGACATAGCTACATGCATGTATTGCAGCATGGAGAGGAGGAATCTAGAGACACATGTTTTTATACAGAGGCTTCAGAGGTACCCGAGGGAATGTATATCCTTTCTAGACAGGCAACCCTTTATCTTGAAATGCCTTTTTATATAGCAAATACCCTGATTAAGCCAACCCAGCCCGTTTGCTTGTGTCTGCCCCCATTAGTTGAACTAATTTTTAAACTCATCCTCATCCACTTCTTTTCTACCTATGTCACCCACCCTTCAAGGTTAACAAAAATGGGCACTGCAGGCTCTCCCCATAACCAGCTTTATCCTTAGAAAGCCAAAAGATTGGTAACAGGAGTCATGTTATTAGAGGAAAAACTACAAGATACAAATGGCTACAGAGAATAGTATAATGGACATCAATGTCCTTGTTACTAAAATTAATTTTTAAAAACTAGCCGTTAATCAGACTCGTGAGAGACAAGGATTGGGGGGGGCACAATCTTGACCGCGCTTACTCTGTTTAGGCAAAGTCCTGCCAGCATACGTCTATTTTAGTGGGAAATTCACCTAAAGTAGTATTAACCCTAATATAACTCATAGTATACATTTCGAAACTCCAAGTCAATGTTTTTGTGATTACTACTTCTACTGCATGATCTAGCAAACAATCTCATAAACAGTAGGGGTTGATGTAGATTTATGTGGGATTTATGAGGATTGATGAAAGAGTCTTAAGTTTTTAAGATAGACTTCTTAGTTGCCAGTGATTAAAAATAATAAATCTTTCCTACCCTCAGAGTGTTCTAATAATGCAGAAGTATTTCCAGATGCTAAAATGTACAACAAAGACCCCAACCCAGTCATTTTTAAAATGATAATAGGATTTAAAACAAGCAAACCTATTCAAAGTTAAGCAATTGAAAAGCCATCAGACTTCCTTGGACATGTCAAAAAAATCATGTCATACAGATGAAAGGAATTACCAAAATTAATTGCAGTCTAAAGAAGTTTAGATATAGTATAGATGGAATATATAAATTTAACACCAAAAGACTTACTATGAAGAAGTAGTCTAGAAAAAAATACTAGAGTTGATTCTTTTTCAAAGAAAAAAGGGAAAAGTAGAATAGCACTGGCAAATAATTGGGACATAATTTTTTATAACAATCTGAGACAGATACCATATGCTACTTCTATAACATTCTGGTGTCCTCTAGAGGGTTCCAGAATATCCTAATATATTACACCACTGGGCAAATGCCAGTGAAAGAGATGAATTAAAAATATTCCCCACTAGGCTCTAAGGTTCCGTAACAGCTTTGAGTTCACTGGGGGCATTTCACAAGTAGAGTAAAATTTGGGGAGATACTCTGTAATCATTGGATCTTTTTATATCCTAAGTCTATATAAAGACTATTTCTTGAGCCAGCACTTCTTAAAATTCCAAATTTCACTCTTTACATGAAAGTAAATTTGCTCCCTGTTAAAAAGAAGAATGACTTCCAGAAAGTTATGCTTTTCTTTGCTGCCTATTAGAAAACCTTTTGTCCTGTGACCTAAAGAATAAGGAACTAACTTGAAACCAATACTTACTGAGAACCTATTAAATCGGGCACTGTTGCTCCTCATATTTTTTTGACATTCTGTATATATTTTTGCTGATACATTATTTACTTATGTTTCATGGGCTATTGTGCACATTATTAAGCAAATATCAGACAAGGTATTATTTTTTCTGGAAGAGAACTCTAGCATCAATTCAGATTTCTTTGGGTTCAAGGGACTCACAATTTCAGTTAGGCTCTGATTGGCCTACTGTAAATCATTGGGCCAGTAGTTAAAGGTAACTGTATAGACTTCCACATGGTGAAGGTAAGGCTTCCTGTGACAGGACAGGCACCGATGATGGCCTAGGATTCATTTAGGCTTTGGAGAAGCCTCATCTCAGATGAGAGGGCTGATGCACAGTTACTTTGTTGACTTGCCCTACAGACACTTAATGTTCATCGTGGAAGATAATTATAATGTGGCTTAACCAATCTATGTTCAAATCGATTTTAGATGACAAAAAAGAAACTAGTAGTAGAAAACTAGTTTTTTTTTAACCAGAGGTAAGTAAAACTAAAGAAATCTTTGTTAAAACTGGAAGCATTAACCATGATATCTGTAGTTCACTGGTATTTTTTTAATCTTAAGACTACATTTTCACAAGAAATAAACCCAGTACTCTAAAAATTAAACTTACTGTCAGTGAATTGCAGCAAGCCAACATAAAGTAAGTGCAATGGGAAGAATTTCATCACATAATTGCACATATTTTATTTTAACATAAAACAGTTAAAAACATTCAGGGGATTAGTCAACAAAAATGTATGAGACTACCTCAGCATTATCTTTTCTCTGTTTGTTCCCTGTTGTTGCTCTTCTATTTTACAATTCCAACCACTGTTTTTGAAGAACACAGGCATCCTCAGATAACAATTCTCAGGAGACACGTGCGGCCTCGTCACACAGAAAGTAGTCTGCATTCCACTTCAACCCTCCCTGTGAACTGGAAAGTAGTGCTTTTCACAACTTTGACAGTGAGGGTAGGACCACATACCAAGGATGTGAGCTACAAGAAACAAAACTGGGACTTTGGACAGAGTCACTCCTCTCTTTGTGATTGCGCAACTGCTTTGGCATTGTTAAATTGTAGAGAAAACACTTTTATGTTGTTTGAGCCTGTCTTGGTCCTTTCATGGTGCTATAACAAAATACAATAAACTAGGTCAACTTACACACAACAGAAGTTTACTTCTTATAGGTCTAGAGGCTGGGAAGTCCTAGGTGAAGGCACCAGCAAATTCACCATCTGTTAAGGATTTGCTTCCTCATGGAAGCTACGTTGTCAATGGTAGATGAGGCCTCTTTCATAGGGTCTTAACCCCATGGGTGACAGATACCCTCCCTAAAGGGCCTACTTCTCAATGCTGTCATATGAGGCATTCAGTTTCAACATAAAGATATGGGGGGGGGGGGAGGAAGGGAGGACAATATTCTATGAGCCATTGTAGTATTTTTGGGTGAATTTCTTACGAAAGTTTAATCTTCTATGGGCTTAGCAGTATATTGATAACTATGTATATTAGGCTTATTTACTTTGAAAGGATGAAGAACAGAAGTATAAGCCATAAAACCTATGGCTTTCTTCATAGTCTACATTCTCCTCTCCCCTCGCTGTATCATCTCTTTGTCTTTTGACTGCTTCATCCAAACCACCCTTGCTTATCCACACCACCAGCACAAACGCCCACTGTGGAATGTATGGTTTTCCCCACCTCCCTCCCTCTCTGCCCTACTCCTGTCCACCGAACTACAACCTATGTCAGTCAAGAACTTACGACTGGGGCTGGGAAGGTGGCTCAGTGGTAGAGCGCTTGCCTTGTGTGCATGAGGCCCTGGGTTTGATTCCTTAGCACCACATAAACAAAAAAGAAAAAAGCCGGAAGTGGCACTGTGGCTCAAGTGGTAGAGTGCTAGCCTTGAGCTGAAGAGCTGAGGGACAGTACCCAGGTCCAGAGTTCAGGCCCCACGACCAGACCCCCCCCCAAAAAAAGAACTTACGACTATGATGATAAAACCGACATCACTAGAAGAAGAACGGAGAAGGAAAGCAATTGCAAGAGTCCTAAATGGAGCAGACATAGAAAAAGTGGACCATTATGAATTCAAGGAGCTCACTATTTACAAACATCTTGCAAAAGGATGGAGCCTTTTGTTTTGTGTACCCACTACTCCTATTGTTGTAATCATTCATAATAATTCTCACTTTCTAAGGAAAAATCCTACATCTCCCATCCCAGTCATCGTCTTTTAC